ACAGTATAAGTTTGAGTTTAGAACTATTAGAATCTAATTTAAGTGTATAAATAATAATAATCATTAAAGCATTACATCAATAACAAATTAAAGCTTATAAAATAGTAAATCAATTACTAATATAATTAAGGTAAAATGTCAACTTACCACAAAGGTGAGAAAATCTCTGATTACTATAAGATTGAAGAGGAGCTCGGAAGGTAGATTGAATTTCTCTAATTATCATTATAGAGGTTCATTCGCTATTGTCAGAAGCGCAATTAACAAGAAGACTGGTGAGAAAGTTGCCATCAAGATCATCGATAGGTAAGTCTCAGAAGGATTCAACTCTGCTGTTAACACATTACCAAATTTTAAAAGACACAATTTACTAAATATTGAATGTTTACAGATAATCACTTGAGGAAGAGGATGAAATCGCCTTATAGACTGAGGTTGATATCCTATCACAGATTGATCACCCAAATGTAGTGAAGTTATATGAGATATTCGACGATAAAGATTGCATGTATCTTGTATTAGAATTGATGACTGGAGGAGAGGTAGGTCCACTTTCAACTCTTTGGATATTCACCTTATTTCGATATAGCTATTCGATAGAATCGTAGAAAAGGAGCATTACTCAGAGATGGAAGCTGCTGAGACCATCAAACCCATCGTTGATGCCATTAGATATTGCCATAATATGGGAATTATTCACAGAGATTTAAAGGTTAGTGGTAGTATACTAAAACTATAGATAAATTTATCATCAATAAACTCAACCATACTCTTGCATTGTCCTCATAACTAGGATATATCCTAAATGTTAGTCCTCATTTTGTGAAAATTTTCTTAGCTTGTTTATGAGTGATTGGTTCGGTTGAGTCCAGATGATTTTTATTGAACAGGTTTTAATAGTTTTATATAGCCAGAGAATTTACTCTATGGTTCAAGAGATTAGGCATCTATTATCAAGATTGCAGATTTCGGTCTTGCAAGATTCTTGCAGGGAGAATTAGCAACAACTGCCTGTGGTACCCCAGGTTACGTCGCTCCTGAAATTCTTGAAGGCAGAGGCTATGGTAAAGAGGTAGATTACTGGAGTATTGGAGTCATCCTCTATATCTTGTAAGTATTAAACAACCCTATATAAATATATTAATTTATTACATGCAGACTTTGCGGTTTCCCACCCTTTTACGATGAGAACAACCAAAAACTATTCGACACAATCAAAAATGTTTAGTTTGACTTTCCATCCCCCTATTGGGATGATGTGTCTGAAGTTGCTAAGGACCTCATCAAATCCCTTCTTGTTAAGGAGCCAAGCTTAAGACTAAATGCTGAGTAGCTCCTCTCTCACCCCTGGATTATAGGTGATGGTACACCAAGAAAGTAACTTCCCAACGTTACACAACAAATCAAAGAATTCAATACTAGAAGAAGATTCAAGGTAAGTGATCACTTCATTTAACCAACTATTTTTCAAATTAAAATACAAACCAATGGATTCAAATCTTAATTTCAATTATAGAGAGCAACCTACTTAGTCATGGCTGCCAATAGATTCTCAAACATCCTTAAGCTAAAGTGATGATCGTGGAAATGAGGAAGATGATGTTATAATGCATATTGATATCCTACTTACTAAACACAGCCTAATTTATGTGTTAATTATTCAAATTCTATATAACTCTAACTTATCATATCGAGGCATATATGATAACTCGGGGTTTTGGGGTTTTGGGGTTTTGGGGTTTTGGGG